GGGGGGCCCGGGGGGTCCCGGGGGCTTTTGGGGGGTCCCTGGGGGTCCCTGGGGGTCCCAAAGGGGGGACGCGGCCCCCCAGAGATCCTCCAGGGGGCGCAGCGGGACCCCAACACTGCCACTGCCACCCGCTCCGCCCCCAAGCTGCCTCAGTTTCCCCTTAGGATGGGCCGGCACTGGGATGAGCTGGGAATGGGATAAACTGGGACTGGGATGGGCTGATACTGGGATAGACTGGGACCGGGATGGGGCAGAACTGGGATGGACTGGCACTGGGATGGACTGGCACTGGGATAAACTGGCACTGGGATAAACTGGCACTGGGATAAACTGGCACTGGGATGTTCCATCACTGTCACCAACTCTGGGATGCTGCGGCACTGGGATGATCCAGAACTGGGATGATCCAGAACTGGGATGATCCAGGACTGGGATGATCCAGGACTGGGACACTCTGGCACTGGGATGATCCAACCCTGATCCAGGACTGGGATGATCCAACACCGGGATGATCCAACACCGGGATGATCCAACACTGGGATGTTCCGGCACTGGGATGATCCAGGACTGGGATAATCCAGGACTGGGATGATCCAGGACTGGGATGCTCTGGCACTGGGATGATCCAACACCAGGATGATCCAGGACTGGGATGATCCAACCCTGATCCGGCACTGGGATGATCCAGAACTGGGATAATGCAGGACTGGGATGCTCTGGGACCAGGAGGCTCCGGCACCGGGAAGCTCCGATACCGGAATGTTCCGGAATGTTCCGCCGTGGGGACGCTCTGATCCTGGGACGATCCCACAGCAGGAGGCTCCAACACCAGGAAAATCCCAGGCGGGGCTGCTCGGACACGGGAACGCTCCAGCACCGGGAGCAGCAGGATGTTCCCATTCCGGAATGTTCCACCCTGGGGATGCTCCGAGATCAGAGGGATCCAGCACCGGAACGTTCCGACACCAGAACATTCCATCAGATGCTCCGACATCGGAACGATCCAATCCTGGAATGCCCCGACCTTGGGACGCTTCAGCACCGGAATGCCCTGACCCAGGAGGTCCCAAATCCGGGATTCCCAAATCCGGGATTCCCAAATCCAGGATGTCCCCAAATCCGGGATGTCCCAAATCTGGGATGTCCCAAATCCGGGATGTCCCAAATCCGGGATGTCCCAAATCCAAGATTCCCAAATCCAGGATTCCCAAATCCGGGATGTCCCCAAATCCGGGATGTCCCAAATCTGGGATGTCCCAAATCCGGGATGTCCCAAATCTGGGATGTCCCAAATCTGGGATGTCCCCAAATCCAGGATTCCCAAATCTGGGATGTCCCCACTCCGGGATGTCCCCACTTCGGGATGTCCCCATCAGGAGCCGGATGGACACGGAGCGGCCGATCCCAGGAATTCCTGGGAATTCCAAACCAGCCAAATCCAGAGGACACCCGGAGCATCCGGAGCAGGGACAGGGACAGGGATGGGACAGGGACAGGGACAGGGATGGGACAGGGACAGGGATGGGACAGGGACAGGGATGGGACAGGGATGGGACATGAACATGGACACGGACAGGAACACGCAGCTCTGGCTCCGCCCAGCCCCGAATCTCAAATTATCCCAAATTATCCCAAATTATCCCAAATTATCCCAAATTATCCCAAATCTGGGGGGTGCAGCCCCCACCAGCCAAACCGGGGCTGTGTCCAGCCCGGAGCCCCCAGCACCCCAAACTGGGACAATTCCCCCCAAACCAGTGCCCCCAGCACCCCAAACTGGGACAATTCCCCCCAGTCCCCCCCAGGTGGGGTTGGTGCCACCCCAGTCCCCCCAAACTGGGTCAGGACCCCCCAAACTGGGACAGGAACCCCCAAACTGGGACAGAGCCCCACCAAACTGGGTCAGGATCCCCAAACTGGGTCGGGACCCCCCAAACTGGGTCGGGATCCCTCAAACTGGGACAGGAACCCCCAAACTGGGTTAGGACCCCCCCAGACTGGGCCAGATCCCACCCAGACTGGGTCAGAGCCCCCAAACTGGGACAGGGCCCCCCCAAACTGGGTCAGGGCCCCCCCAAACTGGGTCGGGATCCCCCAAGCTGGGTTGGGACCCCCCAGACTGGGTCAGAGCCCCCAAACTGGGGCAGGAACCCCCAAACTGGGTCAGGGGCCCCCCAAACGGG